TAGAGGTTATATGTTATCATTTTATGGATGACATTTTAATTGCTGCTAAGGAACTCCCGCCAGGCATTTTTCAAGAACTTTCTGCCACATTAGCGGAAGCGGGACTCTGTATAGCGCCTGAAAAAATTCAATTGACGTTGCCCGCCACCTACTTGGGACATAAAGTCTCTGCACAAGCAGCGCTGCCTATTGTTCCCCAACTGACTATCCCTTCAAACATGAAGCTTGTGCAATTACAACAACTTCTTGGGCATTTGAATTGGGCTCGCTCTTTCCTTGCATTACCTACCAGCACACTATCACCATTGTTCTCGGCGCTCGCAGGACACAAGGATCCAGCAGATGTAATCCAGGTCACTTCGGCAATGATCACTGCATTACAAACCGTTAATCAGCACCTGCGATCTATTCTCGTGGACAGGATCACAGAAGCCTCTGCACACGAGCTGCATCTGGCAGTGTTTGCTACACCATTGTTGCCAACAGGAATTTTATATGCTCAGACGGAAAAAAAGAAGACTATCTGCATTATAGAATGGCTACATTTACCGCACACCCCACCAAAAACATTTATTCCGTAATTGAATCCACATCAGACATTGTTATCAAAGGACGTTCACGTGCTATAGCTTTGAGCGGTTCTGATGTTGCATCAATATATCTGCCCTTCTCACAGACTGAACAGCAGCATTTATTCACAACTAATGCTGCCGTGCAAATTGCCTTAGCTGATTTTATAGGTGTCATCATTTTTAACCCTCCAAAGGATGACCGTTTGACGTTTCTGACACAGGTCACCTATGTTTTGGCTACCCCCTTGTCTCTCACACCCCTCCCCTCTGCATTGACCCTTTTCACGGATGGAACAAGAAGTAGGGGGGTGGTGACATGGGAGGAGGGAGGACAATGGAAATGTTTATTTACCCCCACAGTCTTCTGCTCAGCGAGCTGAGCTAGCGGCTGTGATTCTTGCCTTTCAATCCTTTCCTACTCAACCTTTCAATCTTATTGTGGATACTCAGTATGTATATCGCCTTTTTGCTATTTTACCAATATCTTATATAACTCCTTCCTTGGATTCTGACTTGTTTTCCTTGTTTCTTGCCCTGCAGGCCTTACTTCAGCACAGAGAGTTCCCTTATTATGTTGCACATCTTCGCTCCCACACATCGCACCCAGGGTATTTAGCAGAGGGCAATGCAAGAGCAGATGCGGCTTTGAGAGACATTTCTGCCTTTTCTCTCTTTCTGATCCTATACTATGTCATAACACCTTTCACCTTCCTGCGAAAGCATTAGCAAAGCAGTTTTCTATTCCCTTGGCTCAAGCAAGGGATATAGTTTCCCAATGTGCTTCTTGTTCTAAATCTCAGCTGGCCATTCCTTTTGATGCTGTCAATCCTAGGGGCACGTCTGCATTGGCGTGTTGGCAGATGGATGTCACACACACACCTGTGTTGGCTCCACTCTCCAAGGTTCACCTCACGGTGGACACCCACTCTGGATTCATATGGGCTACGCCCATGAGGGGAAACAGCTCGGCATGTCATTCAACACACTATCCGCTGTTTCTCAGTCATGGGTAAACCCGCGCGTATCAAAACTGATAATGGTCCAGCATATATTTCTAAAACATTTTCGGAATTTTGTATGTTGTGGAATGTGAAATTAACTCATGGTATACCCTTTAACTCCACAGGGCAAGCGATAGTGGAGAGAGCACACCTGACGTTCAAAACACTATTGCTTAAACAGCTTGGCGGCCGAAGCATACCAACAGCAGATATCCCTTCGGCAGTTCACCAAGTTCTTTTTGTACTTAACCATCTTTTATATCCACATCTTAGGACCCATACCCCCGCTGAATTGCATTTTAGGAAGGAGGAGGCACTCCCCCGCCCCTTGGTGGTGTACCGACGCTTGCCTGATCCCGCGTGGCATGGACCTGTCCCGCTGATCACGTGGGGACGAGGGTACGCGGCAGTGGACGTCGAGGACAAGCCTTTGTGGGTTCCAGCTCGATGCGTGCGGCCATGGCGAGCCTCCTCAACCGCGGAAGCACCTTCCTAACCATTTGCCTTGCCATCCTTTGCTGCACCGTTATACAAGGAAGAGAAGCAGACGACCCAGTCCAGTTGAAACCACCATATTTCACCTCATCGGCTGGCAAGCAGCTGTCGTCAGCTTCCTACTCTGGCTGGCAGTATCCACGGCTCAGCCACTTTCGAACTAGAAGAACAGCGTTGTTGAATAAAACTTTTAGGGGAGAAAATTATCATAAGATATGGAGGAATAATATTTTTGTACAAGATATGATTATGTTTACCGGTTTATTGCATGCTTCTAAGTGTTGGCTGTGTATGCACATGCCGCCCTTTGCCAGTCATTCCGGCATAATGCTTCATGGTGTGCCTGTCAATGGATCTTTTCAATTTACTAATATTATATCCCCTAAGCAAACCTTTTGGCCTCCAGTACAATTGACCCTCCATGAGCCTGCCCCCATTTGTTTTCAAATTAAAGAGGGGAAAGAATCATGGGGCATATATCCAAACTGTCAATATACATTGAATTTCACTTTTAATAGCTCTTGTTCTCTTACAGGAATATACAGTGACCAATCTCAGTGCTATAGAAGCGATACCAGTGCATGGCTAAAAACTAGGAAAGAATCCTACCATGCAAATTGGAGTCTGAATTCTTCTATCCCTGGCTTAGCAAATGCCACAGATGAGCAATTTCATATCAGTTCCTTATTTACTGCAGCCTTTTATTGGTCCCAACAGAGTAGTAATATCAGCTATTTACTCCAAAGAGAGTTATGGTTGCTTTGTGGCGAAAAAGCATACAAAGCCATTCCTCGAAACCTCTCAGGCACATGTACATTGGGTCTCGTGGTTCCATTGTTGTATAAGGTTGATAAGTTACCATCTTCTCTTAGACTACGAAATCGTCGGGAGGTTAATTCGCCCTTAAACCAGTATATCGGTACCCAGATCTCTCGGGCCTTGCTGCCCTCAGTGGGCGCAGCAATGAACTATAGGGACCTCCATCGGCTAGCGAATTGGACTGAAGGATTATTCAATGATACCATAAAGGCTTTGAAGAATCTCAACCAGGAGGTGTCTGCAATGAGAGCGGTGGTTTTACAGAATCGTTATACCTTGGATGTGATTTTAGCCTCAAAAGGAGGAGTTTGTGCACTTGTTCATTCTCATTGTTGTATGTTTATTCCTGATAATAATGTCAGCATATCTGCGACGATTGATCATATGGAAACCATGGTAGCTCACAATCCGTTTGCTCCTCCGCCTTCCGTTGATCCATGGGCATGGTTATATTCTTGGCTTCCGGATGGAAGTTGGCTTCGACATTTATTGATTTTAGTGATCATTATAGTAGTTATTTGTGTTATTTTATGTTGCTGTATCCAATGTATTCCTTCTTTAATTTCTATATGTACTGCATGGTTCTCCAGTCCGCGGCCCGCTTCCGGTGTCACAAGAGTCGCTTATCGCGCTCGATATAACCGTATTGGTACTGACTTATATGACTCTGATTAATAAAGTAAAGAAAGAGGGCATGTGGGAGTCATAAAGCCACGGCGAAGGCTTGTAATATTGCAGGGTGCCCCCTGACCTCGGCTGACCAGCACTCTGAGCTTTACAATGTATTGGAATGTATAACCTTATATGGTTTGTGGGTGGGTTAAAGCCTTGACCGGATGAGGTAACGTGAGACACTGGCAAACGGCCATGCGGCTGGAGAGAGGAACAAAGGAATAAAAAAGTGACCGGAGGAGAGGAAGGTCCGAAGGGAGCTGCTCCTACCATCATGAAAATATTGCTGGCTCTCTGTGTCTTTATTTTATGCTAAACTTCGCCATTTGTGCTCCGACATTGCAATGGGAGGGATTCAATGAGATGGGGTAGACCCATGGATGCTCCTTGGAGGAAAAGGGGGGAAATAAATGCCCTTCATAAAGAAAGGGAGCCCAGCCAACAATCTGGAGCAGATTCTGAACCATCCTCAAGAGCAGTTCCACTTAGAGGGCATTGCGATGATCCTATCTGATCCACAGCAGAGAGTACCCTGGCCATGTCATCTCTGCTCCAAGGGGACAGTGGTGGGCAAGCTGGCCAGAGCTGGAAAGGGGCACTTCCAAACAGAGAATTTATTTACAATCATAGGAGGAATGTGAGCCCTTCTCACTTGTTTATAGTGCTATCCTTTGGCCCTCAGACCTAAGAAAAAGGGATTCCACCCCAGCAGTTTGTCTTGAGAACTTTGCACATTCCAAGTGGCTAGAAAATGGGACAGAAGCAGGAAGGAAATGGTCACTGAACTGTGGGAGGGAGGGAGAGCAGCTCTTGAGGATCCCACGGTGGGTTGGTTGGTTGGTTGGTTGGTTGGCATCCATTTGTCTCAGGAGACAATGGGAGAGTGTGCCTTTGGGGGTGAGGTCAAACTGTGGGAAGGTTGCAGCGGCTGCAGAGGCCCTAGCCTAGTGTCAAAATTACACTTGTACAAATGACTCACTTGTCAATCACAGTTCTGTCTTCTTTCATTGACTGAAAACACTGAAAGGCAGGAGCAACTAGGCTGATTCATTTTTCAGACCTTCCCAATGTTTCCTGCACATTTTGCATAGTAACGTCTAGTAGGGCTGGACGCCGGCTTCTCCTTTTCCTTTTTTGAAAAAGAAAGTTCAGAGTCTGGGCTGTGTTGCAGTCCAGCCCTGGTTCCTAATAAGATTCCGGGAATCTTTTTCTTTTCCTGGCTGTGTACCAATTTCATAACATAACAATGTATTTGCTTTGTAGGGTTTGCAAAGGCCTCTACTTAGGAAAGACAGAACTTGGCAGTAGAACCAAGAGCTTTCTTTCGATCTCTTGGAGATTTCCTGAGAGCCCAGATGGATGAGTCAGAGTCCGCTGGCCCTGAAGCAGGAAGAGGCCATGCCATCAAAACTGGGAGCAGTGGGGATTCTGGGAAAGCTCCATGCAGAAGATCCTGGGTGAGGAGGACATTTTCCGCTCAGATGTGCAGAGCCAGCAGTTCAGGCAATTCTGCTACCAGGAGGCCAAAGGACCTCGAGAGGTTTGCAGCCGACTCCACCACCTTGACCATCGGTGGCTGAAGCCAGAAAGGCACACAAAAGCTGAGATGCTGGATCTTGTGATCTTGGAGCAGTTCCTGGCTGTCCTTCCACCCGAGATGGAGAGCTGGGTGCGGGAATGTGGAGCGGAGACCAGTTCCCAGGCGGTGGCCCTGGCCGAAGGATTCCTCCTGAGTCAGGCAGAGGAGAGGAAGCAGGCAGAGCAGCAGGTGAGAGAGACTTTCCCCTGGATATTCCAGAGGCGCTCTGAACATGAGAGAGGGTATCCCAAAATTCTCTCTTAATCCCCCAACCTTTTTTGGAAAGCGTCCAAGGAATGATATCGGGTACCCCTAAAGCTTTTGCCTCTCCCAGTCCTTTTCTAATGTTTCTCTCCATTCTCTGTTTCCAATCCTTTTTGCCCTTTCAGGGAAAGATTATCTTTGCAGAAACGGGCCTGGATTCCTCTGTGGCAGAGAAGACTCCATTGGACGCCAAAGAGAGACCACTGGGTAAGGAGGAAGGAGGGTTTTTTCCCATTTGGTCACACATTCTGTAGATTTTGCCACTAATCTGTGGGTCCCCCCCCCAACATTTTGGGGAGGACACTAGGGGCCAAGAGCCCAAAGTGGGGACATGTATTTTTACCTAGCTAAGATACAAATGTCAAAATGCACTCAGTAGGTGTGACTTTTTTACAGGCCCACCTGTAGTTAGAGATGCACTGCTTTACCTCTAAGAGAAGCATGTGAAAATGGCCTGCCACTTACCTTTGTCTCTCACAGGTGACAGAATGATGCTGGCAAGAGATGCTTATCCATCTTTGCATGAAGGCAGAGATGCAGCAGCTATGGAACCAGATCAGGTAGGGAGAATGAAGGATTGTGGTGAAAGAGTCCCTAATAAATCTCTCTCCTCCTTCTCTTGGCTGTAAAGGCCATTGCAGGAGCCTTATGTTCTGAGAATGGTGAACAATCACCTCACGTTGACTAGCCTCCTGAATGTTGCTAATATTATTTATCAGTTGTTGCAGTTTTATTTACAGATTTAACATTTAATGCTAAAATAGGCTTCTAAGCAGTTGACAAATCATAAAAACAGTGGCCAGAATTCATCTTTCCCCTCCTTCCCCTCCCTGTGACCCGCAGTACCCCCTGAAGTTGACTTTAAAGCGTTGTGAAGGTTCCCCCCACCTCCAGAACAGTAAGCAGGGAGAGCAAAGAGAGGATCCTTCCATCTGGGAAACTGGAATCCATGAGCAGAGAGAATTATTTGAAGATCACCATGTGGCATTCCATCCATTCCCCCAAAGCTTAATACCAGTCATTAAAATACACACAAAAAAACAGTTTTGTTAAAACATTAAAATATGCATCCATAATTAAAATGTACAGCAAAACAATTACATTAAAACAAAACAGCAGTGAATAGGCAGAAAACAACAGAGCAATGTGAAGTAGATAATGTGTATGTTGTCTAAGAAGGGGACCTTTCCCTTTTTATTTTAGGGTCTGGTGTGCTTTGAAGATGTAGCTGTTCATTTCACAGATGAGGAATGGGAGTTGCTGGATCCTGACCAAAGAGCTCTGTATAAGGAAGTAATGGAGGAGAATCGTGGGATCATGGAGCCTCTTAGTAAGGCTGCCTTTTGGATTACAATATCTCTTTTGAAATTCAGTCCCTGAGGCTGTGATCGGTTTCTTTTTTGTTGCAGATGGTGATGAATCAGAAAGGAAGAATGAGGGAGACCAAATCTACACAATGGAGAAGCGGTATCAATACTTGGAGTGTATAGAAAGCTTCAGAATAATTCATACAGGGGAGAAACCATATCAGTGCTTGGAATGTGGAAAGAGCTTCATTCGGAAATCGTATCTCCGTTCCCATAAAAGAACTCACAGCGTGGAGAAACCCTATAAGTGCTTGGAATGTGGAAAGAGCTTCGCCTGGAAGGTCAATCGAACAGCCCATGAAAGAATTCATACAGGGGAGAAACCATATCAGTGCTTGGAATGTGGAAAGAGCTTCATCCAGAAGATAAGTTTCACAGGCCATCAAAGAATTCATACTGGGGAGAAACCATATCAGTGCTTGGAATGTGGAAAGAGCTTCATCCAGAAGAAAAGTCTCACACGCCATCAAAGAATTCATACAGGGGAGAAACCATATCAGTGCTTGGAATGTGGAAAGAGCTTCAGTTGGTACTACAATCTCAGTTCTCATCAAAGAACTCACAGCAAGGACAAACCGTATCAGTGCATGGAATGTGGAAAGAGCTTCAGTCGGAAGGATAATCTCACTCTTCATCAAAGAATTCATGCTGGAGAGAAACCATATCAGTGTTTGGAATGTGGAAAGAGGTTCAGTCATAGGTTCCATCTCACATCCCATCAAACAACTCATACAGCGACAAAGGCATTTCAGTGTTTTGAATGTGGAAGGAGCTTCACCCGGAAGGAAAGTCTGACTTCCCATCAAAGAATTCATACCGGGGAAAAACCGTATAAGTGCTTGGAATGTGGAAGGAGCTTCAGTTGGAAGATTAATCTGACTTTACATCAAAGAACTCATACAGGGGAGAAACCATATCAGTGCTTGGAATGTGGAAGGAGCTTCATTAGGAAGGAAATTCTCACTTCCCATCAAAGAACTCATACGGGGGAGAAACCGTATCAGTGCTTGGAATGTGGAAAAAGCTTCAGTCGGAAGAGAAGTCTCACTTCACATGAAAGAAGTCACAGCGAGGAGAAAGCATATCAGTGCATGGAATGTGGGAAGAGCTTTAGCCGGAAGGATTGTCTGACTTCACATCAAAGAACTCATACAGGGGAGAAGCCCTTTGAGTGCTTGGAATGTGGGAAGAGCTTCACTCATAGAGCAGGTCTCATGCACCATCAAAGAATCCATACAGGGGAGAAGCCCTTTGAGTGCTTGGAATGTGGAAAGAGATTCAGTCAGAGAACTGGTCTCATGTCCCATCAAAGAATCCATACAGGTGAGAAGCCATTTCAGTGTTTGGAATGTGGAAAGAGCTTCAGTCACAGTGCTAGCTTTAAGAACCATCAAAGAATCCATACAGGTGAGAAGCCATTTCAGTGCTTGGAATGTGGAAAGAGCTTCAGTCGGTACTCCCATCTCAGTTCTCATCAAAGAACTCACAGCAAGGACAAACCATATCAGTGCATGGAATGTGGAAAGAGCTTCGCTTGGAAGGAAAGTCTCACTCCCCATCAAAGAATTCATACAGGGGAGAAACCGTATGAGTGCTTTGAATGTAAAAAAAGGTTCAGTCAGAGCGCCCAGCTCTCCATCCATCAAAGAATTCACACAGGAGACAAATGATACCAGTGCTCAGAATGTGGAAAGAGCTTCATTCGAAGCGCCCATCTCACTTCCCAGCAAATAATTCATACAGCGGACCAGTCTTCCAGAACTGGAAGACTGGGGAAATATCATCAAAGGAAGAATGGCAAGAGAAGCTGGTGTACTATGCAGAGTTGGCAAAGCTAACAGATAAACTGTCGGGGATAAACAATAGTGACTTTGAAAAAGAATGGGAACCTTTTACATCATATCTGCAGAAACAACAAGAAAAAAAGAGTCATTGGCAGGATTTAAATAAACATTTGCAATTTTCTTTACAAGAAATAGGAAACTTAATATGACAATATAGAAGTAAATATAAACAGCAGAATGTAATATAAGATGTAATAAACCAGTGATGGAAGTTGAGGGAAGTCCGCAGGGAAGGGGAAAATTGAAATCTGAATGTAATGATTTTAGACATTGTTAAAAAATAAAAATCTAAAAAAAATGATTTTAAAAAAAAGAATTCATACAGCGGAGAAACCATATAAGAGCTTCAGTTGGAAGAGAAGTCTCACTTCACATGAAATAACTCACAGGGAGGAGACACCATATAAGTGCTTGGAATGTGGGAAGAGCTTTGCCCGGAAGACAAGTCTCACAGCCCATGGAAGAATTCACACAGGGGACAAAGCATAACGGTGCTCAGAATGTGGACGGAGCTTCGGTCAGAGAGCCCAACTCACTTCCCATCAAATAATTCATAAAGGGGGAAACCATTCAGTTATTGCAATGCGGAAAGAGCTTCAATGAGTGTGACAATCCCGCTTCCCATCAAAGGATGCCTATCAGGAGAGGCATAGAAACAGAGAATTGTAGAGTTGGAAGGGACTACCAGGGCCATGGCAATGCTGGAATGTCTGCTGAAGCATGCCTGACAGATAGTCGTTTAACCTCTGGTGATGAACCTGCAAGGAAGGAGAGGTCACCATCAGAATTTTCTTCCTGATGTGTAGCCATTTGGATCCTACCCTCTGGAGCAGCAGAAAACAAGCTTGCTCCATCTTCCATGTGACCCTTGATCATCTTGGTCACCCTCCTCTGCGCATGTTCTAGATTGTCAATATCCTTCTTAAATTGTGGTGCCCAAAACTGGACACAGAACTCTGGTGGAGTCTATCCAAGTTAGAATACAACATGACTATTTCTTCCCTCAATCCAGACACTGTGCTTCGGTGGTTGCAGCCTAGAATAGGATCAGGTCTTTTTTGGCTGCTGCTGCATTGCACTGCTGAAGAGGAGAAGGGAGAGTGGAAGAATGAAAAGTCTTTGAGTGGTTCATGGGTGTTCTATCCAAGGGAAACTGACCACCGCACCAGCCGGAGAACTTCCTTAGTGCTCAGGTCCCCAGCTGTCAGGAAGGGAAGGCAGGATCAGCACCAGGGAGAGGATCGGAGGCGTGTGCTTCAAGGCCACAGCTAGAAAGCCAGCAGCAGAGGGAGAACATGCATGTTGTCTTGTGTGAAAACAACTCAAGTAAAAGCCTCACTATTTTGGAATCTCAACTCTCATGGATAGTAATGGGGTTACCAATTCTCCTACTTGAACTCAAGCAACTAAGTTTATGGAGGATTTTTTCCAAGAGCTTTTGACACTTTGGGAATGACTCTAGCAAATGCCTTTATACTTATCTACTGTCATGTATTTTGACCAAACTGCGGGAGGCAGTGGAAGACAGAAGTGCCTGGCGTGCTCTGGTCCATGGGGTCACGAAGAGTTGGACACGACTAAACAACAACAACAACACTGTCATGTATTAAATACTGGAAACTCATTGTTGGTCCTAATTTTCTGACGTGGGTGACCTTAGAATATGCACATACAGCCCCTTTGGTGGGCTGGAGAATACTAGGATCAAAATATTTGAAATCCCAGGTGACTCTAGAAACAACAAAGTCAGTTAGAAAGATATGGAACATATTGCCTAATAAAAATAAAGTTGATCTATACTCGCATGCCAAACTCGCCCTGTGGGGAAACCCCATAGTAAAAATTGCTAAAAATTGAGTGGAAACAGGTGTATTGACTCTGGACCAAGTGATAGATGAGGAATGTTATAGTTATGCTGCTCAAAGACAAAAATATCATCTACCAGTTGGGGCCCAGAGGCAATACCTTCAGTTACAACATCTCCTAACTGGTCTCTTTGGGCCAGGAGCTTTCTCAGTTTCTGAGACATGTGAGATACTGGAACAATTGAGCAATTCACTTGAAACTAGAAAGCCAGGAATTACTTTTTATACCTACCTACTAACAATAAAGGGATGCGGGTGGCGCTGTGGGTTAAACCACAGAGCCTAGGACTTGCCGATCAGAAGGCGGTTCGAATCCCCGCGATGGGGTGAGCTCCTGTTGCTCAGTCCCTGCTCCTGCCCACCTATCAGTTCAAAAGCATGTCAAAGTGGAAGTAGATAAATAGGTACTGCTCCGGGGGGAAGGTAAACGGCCTTTCCCTGTGCTGCTCTGGTTTGCCAGAAGCGGCTTAGTCCTGCTGGCCACATGACCCGGAAGCTGTACGCCGGCTCCCTCGACCAATAAAGTGAGATGAGCACCGCAACCCCAGAATTGGCCACGACTGGACCTAATGGTCAGGGGTCCCTTAACCTTTTACTAACAATAAATAAGTTTGATATGCAGTCCTTAAGGAATGATTGGAATAAAGAATGAGAAATGTCAGTATTATCTGGACGGTGGGAACGTATTTTAGAATCTATTGCCCTCTTAAAAGACAAAGTCCAGCAACTGGAGGAACGTGTAGCTACGCTCCAAAGCATTAGAGAGCTGGAGCTCTTCTTGGAAGCAACAGAGCACACCGTCTCCACCAAGGAGGAGACAGGGGACTCCCCTGAGAAGGAGGCTAGTTCACCAACACAGGAGCCAGATATATGGAGAAGCATGACTCAAAGAAGTAGGAGGCCCAGGGTTCGCTCTGATTGTTTAGAAATACACAATCGCTTTGAGGTCCTCTCCCCTAGCATGGAAGACGAAGAGCAGACTCCATTTGAGGATCTCTCCCTCATTACAGTTGATCAGGTATATGAAGATGAGCAGCAAAGTCAGTCCTCAGGGATTGTGCAGGCGACCTTGGAACGGACAGCTCACGGAAGAACCCCGACCAAACCTAAGAGGAGGTGTGTAGTGGTAATAGGGGATTCCCTACTGAGGGGAACAGAAGCAGTGATCTGTGGGCCTGACAAGATGTCTTGGGAAGTGTGCTGTCTCCCCGGGGCTAAGATCCAAGATGTAACTGAACGACTGCAAGGAATCATAAAACCCACTGACAAATACCCCCTCCTCTTGGTTCATGTGGGAACCAATGACACTGCAATAGCCTCCAGAAGATCAAAAGAGACTACGAGGCTCTGGGCAGGAAATTGAAGCAATTAAATGCACAAATTGTCATCTCATCTGTCCTCCCAGTTGAACGACGTGGCCCAGGGAGAGAGGGAAAAATAGTGGAAGTGAACAGCTGGCTTCGCAAATGGTGTAAACAGGAACGGTTTGGATTCTTAGATCACGGACTGCAGTTTCTTGAAGATGGACTTCTGGCAAGCGATGGGCTGCACCTCACAACGGTTGGGAGAAATGTTTTTGCCAAAAATCTCAGAAACCTCATCAGGAGGGCTTTAAACTGACTAATGTGGGGGGAGGGAGACAGTGCTCCTGAAGGTAGGAGTCTATCAATTGATGAAGATGATCATCCAAATGTCATAGATCAAATGGAGCAAACAGCATGCAGACCTAGTGGTGGGAGGAAAAAATCCTTAAATAAGAGACACGGGGGAATGATTAATGGACTTCAATGTCTGTACACTAATGCACAAAGCATGGGAAATAAACAAGATGAGCTTGAGCTCTTGATACAGCAAACTAAATATGACATAATAGGCATCACTGAAACCTGGTGGGATAAGTCCCACGATTGGAATGTAATAATGGGGGGATACAATGTATTTCAGAGAAACAGACCAGACAAGAAAGGAGGAGGAGTGGCGTTATATGTCAGGGATGTGTATACCTGTGAAGAGATCCAAGATTTAGAACCTCAAAGCCAAAGTGAGAGCATTTGGGTCAAAATTAAGGGAGAGAAGAATAACAGTGACCTCATTGTGGGAGTTTACTATAGATCCCCAAGCCAAACGGAGGACATAGATGATGCCTTCCTGGAACAGATGGCCAAGCATGCAAAAGGAAGGGAGATAGTGGTAATGGGGGACTTCAATTACCCGGATATTTGTTGGATGTCAAACTCAGCCAAGAGCGTAAGGTCAAACAGATTCCTCACTGGCCTTGCAGACAACTTCATTGTCCAGAAAGTGGGAGAAGCAACAAGAGGAACAGCCATTTTAGATCTGGTCCTAACCAATGTTGATGACCTGGTTAGTGGGGTAGAAGTGGAAGGATCATTAGGCGCTAGTGATCATGCTCTTCTGAAGTTTACTATACAGCGGAAAGGAGCAGCCAAGCATACTAGGACTCAATTTCTTGACTTTAAGAAAGCCGACTTCATAAAACTTAGGGAAGTGCTGGGTGAGATCCCATGGACAGTAATACTAAAAGGAAAGGGAGTTCATGATGGCTGGGAGTTTGTTAAGAGGGAGATAGTAAAAGCACAACGTCAGGCAATACCAATGAGACGGAAACATGGAAGGTGCCTAAAGAAGCCAGGGTGGCTATCTAAAGAACTTTTAACTGAGTTAAGATTAAAAAGGATGTGTACAAAAATGGAAAAGGGGGAAACCACCAAAGAGGAATTCAAACAAATAGCCAGCACGTGTAGACACAAAGTCAGAAAAGCTAAAGCACAGAATGAACTCAGGCTTGCTAGAGAGGTTAAAAGCAACAAAAAAGGCTTTTATGGGTATGTTCGTAGCAAAAGGAAGAACAAAGAAACAGTGGGGTCACTCAGAGGAGAAGATGGTGAAATGCAAACAGGGGACACAGAAAGGGCTGAACTCCTCAATGCCTTCTTTGCC